GCTCCCTGGCCTCCTCCTCTCCCCTCTCCCCTGTGTCTCGGCCGGTCCCCTCCCCCTGTGCACACGGCTCACCAGTGATGGGGTTCTGGCAGCCGGAGCACTTCTTGGCCACGGAGGTCTTGTAGCAGTCCACGCAGTACACCTGGTCCTCGTGGGAGGTGAAGCGCTGGCCGGCCAGGGGCTTCTTGCAGGTCAGACACACGAAGCACTCGGCGTGCCAGGGCTGGTCCTGGTAGCTGATGCCCCCGGTGGTGATGGCCTTCACGCCCACACAGGGACACAGAACACCATAAAACCCACAGTGAGGCGCTGTTCTGTTCCAGGAGAGCCGCGGGTCTTTCTGTCGACTGTCTCAGATATCAACTCAATTGGTCTAAATAACGGCTGCGCCCTGGTCTTCAGGCAGTGAGGGCTTCAGGGGGAAATCGTGCAGCCACAGGGCCTTACCTGCTTGCAGTGGACACAGTGCTTGGCGAACTTCTTCTCGTGGCAGGGGGAGCAGTAAATGTCGTCTCCCTTGGTCAGGAAGCTCTGCGAGCGGATGGGCTGCTTGCACTGGAAGCAGGTGAAGCAGTCCTCGTGCCAGACGTTGTGCTTGTACTCCACGTTCTGAGAGCCTGCAGAGAGGGCGCAGACCAGCAGGGGTCAGTACAGAGCTCCTCCCAGCGCAGTACCAAGAGGACCTCCCTGCCGTTGTTCCTTGGACTTCTTCCACGGACAACTAACTGCCTTCAAGAGTCACCCAGGCATTGCTATAAGGATGTTTTTTTTTTTTTAGTTCCAATGAAAATATATACGGCGGTGGACAATTTGGGCCAAAAAGCAGTGCCAGATAACAGGACAAAGAGATCATCAAATTAATGACAATTGCTGATAAACAGTGCAGTCTTAACAGCCTTTCTAACACCAGCAGGCTGCTTTCGTATGCTTAAAAAAATAGCTACGCCATCACAGTAAATGAGATGGCTTCCTCGTTTGTTGCATGTAATTATAGGCATCAAGTTGCAAAGGATCAGGTGAAGGATCATTCCTTGCTGGAAGGTACAGAGAAGAAACTCTCCGATTTGGCTGCGGGGCCTCGATCGGGTGTCTTCTTTACCGTTCAGCACCATCCTGTTCCCTTGCAGCCTACGCACGCCGAGCCAGCCAACCGGCTGGCCGGTGCGCGACCCGGGGCGGTTCCCAGCATGCAGTGCGCAGAGCATGGCCCACGGGCGCCGTGGCCCGCGGAAGCTCAGGCCAGCCCGGCCGGGGGCTACCTGGCAGGACGGGCTTGTAGCAGCCGTGGCAGCGGGGGGAGTCCTCCCGGGAGCTGCACTTGCCGCACAGGATCTTGTCATCCTTGGTGCTGAAGGGCTCGCTGGCCAGCGGCTTGTAGCACTTGGCGCAGCGGAAGCAGTCGTCGTGCCAGTAGCGGTTCTTGTGGTGCAGCTCCTGCACGGCGAGAGAGAGAGAGAGAGAGAGGGCTTGACGCAGGGCCGGCCCACGGGGCAGCCCGGGGCGAGAGAGAGAGAGAGAGAGAGAGAGAGCTGTGCATCACTCGTTCCCTCAGGCAGCCGAGCCAAGGCTGGGGCAGCAGGGCAGGGCTTTGCCCCCCTGGACCAACAGGAAGGGGCTGCGGGTTCGATTCCAGGGTGAGGAACCGCTGTCGTACCCTTGAGCGAGCAGTTCCGCTCAGACTGCGGCCGGTGATCTCCCAGCTGTGGCATCACTCCGGAGTAAAAACCCTGAAACAACAAAGGGCAGCAGCGCAGGCGCGGGGGGGAGCACGCGGTGCGGAACGCAGACGAGCGGAGGCCAGGCGGGAGCAGGGCATGCTGGGACGGGCAGCGCAGAGCCAAGGGCAGAGACGCCGGGGGCGGACGGACGGACACGGCGGCGGCCCACCTTGGAGTCGGCGCCGATGGGGCGGCGGCACTCGGCGCAGGTGTTGGCGCACAGCTTGTCGAAGCAGCGCACGCAGCAGTGCTTGTCTTCCTTCTTCACGTACTTCTTCCCGTGCAGCGAGTCGCGGCAGTAGAAGCAGTCGAAGCGGTCCGTCATGGTGCCGGTGGTGTAGCTCCGCGGGCCTGCGGGCACAACGGCAGCGTGAGCGCCCCCCGCGTCTCCCGGGCCCTCTCCCTGCGCCGCCCCGCCTGCGCAGATCAGGGGCCTGGGTACGGAGCGAGTACGGTGCTCATCCTCCCAGCAGAGCCCTGGACGTCCCAGAATAACCCCCCCCCCTCCCCCTCGTGTCTGCGCGCCGCAGAGACCGCCCGGGGGAAACTACAGGGAAGTGCATTTAAAACTGAGAGCCAGAGGCACGTCTTCACCCAAAGAGTGGTGGGGGTGTGGAACAAGCTGACCAGCCTTGTTGTGGAAGCCAACAACCTGGCTTCTTTCAAAAAGCAGCTGGATGAGACACTTGGGTCGATTAGGTAATAATAATAATAATAATAATAATAATAATAATAATAATAATAATTGCTTACACTTATATAGCGCTTTTCTGGACACTCCCCTCAAAGCATTTTACAGGTAATGGAGACTCCCCTCCACCACCACCAATGTGCAGCATCCACCTGGAAAGGTACTAACTGGGCAGGACAGGCTGAATGGCCTCCTCTTGTTTAACCTGTCTCGTGTTCTTAAGAGGCAGAAGAAACCGGTGCCGCAGGCCTGCCGCGAACAGGTCAGCACCATGCGAACACAGCCCAGCAGCAGGGCTGTGGACTCCTGCGCCCTCACCAGCAGCTGCAGCTGAGAGCCTAACTGGGGGACACGACATCCAAAACACCCAGCAAGAGGGCTCCTCCCACACAGCCTGGTGAGAGCTCCTTTCATCTCATCCCTGTGTCTCAGCAATTTCTTTTAAGGAAAGCTGCGTTGGGAGAGAGGCGCAACAAAATATACTGAACTAGGAAGACAAAAAATTATCCTGTGTCGTTTTGTTGTTTTACCACTAGGGGGGACTATTGTTCAGAAAATCCTCCCTTCCAGCGTCAGCAATAAGAGAATAGCTCACACCTGCAGAAGGCTTCACAGCCGAAAAGTTGTGTTTTCTCTCCTCTCTTTTCAGCAGGGAATAAACCCATTACCTCTTCCCAATAAGAGAATACTACCTTTCCTGATGTGTGAAAGTCATGACAGATCACTGCTAAGTATCTGTTTAAGAGATAATTTAACAGCATCACACTTATGTCATTAAGCACTCTGCTGAAACATACAATCAAGGCAGCATGCCGAAGCCTGTCTTCTGCAGATATGTCATCGGCAGTTATTACACAATCTGTACGGAGTTTTGTTTAAGCATCATACACACCCCAGGACATAGACTTTACAAACAGAATCATTAGTTCTGCAGAAGTAATGCAGATGAATGCAAAGTTCAGGCATTTATTTTTGTCTCGCGTGACCCAGTAATACTGCAGATGTACATGTAGTTACGTGATGGACTGCTGAAATATCACTGGTGCTGTGTGCCAGGGGGGCAAGAAGAAGAGAACATGAAGAAATAACGTGCTCACCCCTGTGCCCACAGGAGCAAACAGAAAGACGAGCTGTTGAGCTCACACCTTCAGCACAATCAACTCACAATACCTGTTTTGACTATGTCAGAGCAGGCTTCTAGTATGACATTCCTTGGTTACAAACCATCTTAGAGAGCAACCAGTCTTTGCAAAAATCAATTATCCAGCCTTTCCTGATTCAGAACTCAGCTTTTCAGATCACTACAAACGTGTAGAGACAAATCACCAACAGTGTCAACAGTGCAGCCCTGTAAGACTGCATCTCACCCTTACCCATCTGCAGTTTCAAATACGTCTTGAGGCCATCTACACTGGGGTACATCACCCCAGTAATTTTCAAATAATACTTAAATTCTCAGATGCAGGTCACCTGATATATGTACCCAAGTTCCCCAGAGAGACCCAGGCTAAACACCTGGACAGAACTAATTAACTAATGAATCCAATTAAGTAATTAGGAGCTCTGCTGGAATGCAAACCAGACAATGCGTGCCACTGCAAGAGCAGACTGTCCTCAATGTTTCCAGCTCAGCACACCTTAGTCAACCTTTGTTGGATCACTGTAATATTTTGCAGAGCTGTACTCTGGGGATCCACAGCTCCTCTCAACATGGGCCTGCAGCTCAGCAGCTGTTCTGTGTCTCATTAAATCAGCAACAGCTCAAGACCTGAGCAGCTCCATGTAAGAGTCTCCTGGGAGCTATCACTAAAGAGCCCAGATGCAATCCTGGTGGATTCCTTCTGTACAACAGAAGGCCCCAGTGGAGAAGATTTACGGTCCATTTAATTCTAGTCCTCTAGGACAGTGGTCGGGCAGGTTGTGTAAGACTCTCAAGTCATCCCAAGATCTCAGGAAGAGGGTAATATTCGCTCAATTAATCGGACCAATGTAAACCTCCTGCAGATGATTTAAGAAGACCTAAGACCCGCTGGGCTGTAGTGCTCAAGACAGAGCCCTGATTTAATCGGCCTTATTTAAAAACAAATGTCAACGTTAAATACATTAATCTTTCATGTGACTCTTTTTTTTTTTGCAGGCTTTAAAGAGTTGATTATTTTATAGACAGCTATAAAAGCCGCAGGACCGAGACTGGAGACCCCTGTGTAATGAGCCCACAAGTTCCTGCAGGACAACAGTGCATGTGTCTGGTCTGGGCAGCCCTATTCCAAAGAGACTGAGCTGGGCTGCAGACGCAAGTCCATTCCAGTTCCCTCTCCTCCATGTGTTCCCCGCTGCCTAGCAACTCTGCAGCAAACATGTTTATGCTTACTTCAGAAAGCAACCCACAAAAACCAGGAACAGATGTCTTTCAAACACAGGACTTCAACATGAAGTCATACAGTGTTGGATTTCAATGGGGCATTGCCCCTGTTATCTGGAATTGTATTTTTAGACAACATATTTCATCCCTTTGTCTTTTCCAGGCAACAACATATTATTACCAGAGCTGTAAACACAAATCTTCCTAAGACCTGGCAAGACTTCTACCCCTTAACATTCCACAACTCCAGTGCGGCCAGCTGAGGATGGCTAAGCTGTAGGAAATAATTCAAAGTTAATTCAATCCATTTAAAGATGTTCGTGCAAGCAGGGACTCGCCTTTATTATCGGGGATAAGGGCCTACAATGCTCTTGTAAGGCTCAGAGAAAACAGTCGTCAATGCCCACAAACGATTTTTACTCAGACCTGATCAGCGCAGATACCTAATTAGTTAACTAAGCTAATTAACAGGCTTAGCCCGGCCTTTAGAAATGTACAAAGATATTTTCTGTCTCCCCGGGGGTAAAAGTGTGTCACTTGAATGGAGGACAGGGATTAATCCAATGTCACTGATGCAGAGACTGTCTGCAACGTGTAGTCACTCAGTTCAAATTCTTAAAACCGCTAGAGACATTTCTAAACCTTAACTTTCAGCTCGAATAAACTGGTGCTTGAACACCATCTCTTCCTCACTCACTCCGCATGAAAACCAACGTTAAAACTCTCCCGTCTGCTTATACCGCTGATAATATTTAAAAGTTATTTAAAAATATCTGAATATAACAATTCATTGCCTTTAAAACCTTTAAAAGTGAGATTACTACTTTTTGTATAAAGTAATTGCTGTAATTTCTCTTTAAAACTGGCTGTGTTGGCACTTAGATGACTCCCACGCCAGTGAGTTCACTCCGCAGTGCACTCCACAGTTCACTCCGCAAGTGCACTCCGAGTGGAAGACATAGGCCTCTGTACAGAACACCCCAGCCTTGAAGAAGAGGTGCAGCTGTACAGAAGGGGATTACTCTGTCAGCCCTAGATAAGTCAGCCCCGAACGGGGAGGAAAGGGGTCAGGGGTCAGGGGTCAGGGGTCTGCTCTGCCAAGAGCACAGCTGCCTTTCTGCCCTTTCTGGACAGAGGCAAGAGCCACAGGCAGCGACTCTACAGAGAAAGTTCACCTAAAGCTGGCTGAACCCCTCAGCCTAGGAAATCCAATACAGGGCATACACACTCGAGGGCTGTGACTCACCGCCCGCTGCCCTTTGAGATGGGCACTATCTTGGCAGCCCACTTCATCTTGCAGAGCTGCTCCCGATACGACACGAGAGAGCCCCCTCGCTCAGCCCTCCCGCCGCGGGGGTGCAGCCCGCCAGCAGAGCCTCGAGGCACGGCGGTGTGCATTCCGACGCCAGGAGGGCTTCGACGCGGCCGCCCACGTCTCCTGGGGAGAGGGTTATCCGAGCGCAGCGCTGTCTCTCCGGGGAGAGAGGATGGAGAGAGTACGGAATGTGGAACTGGAGGTGGGATGCGGACGGAGCACGCTGACAGACACAGAACTCTGTGCATGTCTCTGGCGCCCCCATGGGGATTAGCCAGGGCTTCTGAACACAAGCCACATAGCAGCGGTGTTCCAAAGCAGCGCTAATCCAACATTCCAGAATCCACACAGGCAGCGCAGGAATACTGGGAATCTGACAGCTGGCTGGGCACTGGAAATCAGAAGGAATTTAGCCGCAGAGGGGTGTCAGTCAACGGCTTACCATTTCACTCCAGGGATAAAACTAAGGTTGTCCACAAAGGTCACAGTTCACTTTACAGAGGACATGCAACACTACATTTGAGAGGCTAGATAAAACTATATAAAGCATAAAGGTATCCTGTAAGTTTATCCTAAAGCCCTCGTGTCCAATCCAGCACAGAGAATCCTGCAGCAGACCTCGGTCTGGAGAAAACAGAGATCTGAGTTTCTGGAAGCCAACAGTACAGTAGAGAAAGCAGAAAACAATATGCAATAAAATTAAGACAATACCGTAATTTATACAGTAACTCAAAACTGATATGCCAGCATCACTGGTGCAGCATTGTGAAATCAAAAAACATAAGTAAAGATATTCAGGTTAAATAATTTCAGATCAGCAAACTGGATTCTCTGTCATAAAACCTCCAATATAAATCACTCTCCTAATCTGAGTTCAGGTACACAAGAGGGTCGACAACAATGCTGGTTATCACTATGCAATTTAAGAGTGCTTTTCAAGAAGCTCAAAGCATTTAAGATTTTGCCAATTTCTTTACTAATTTATCTTTGCTGCGCCCCAGTAAAAACTCATTTAAGGGAACTTAAATCTGTGACGGGTCATCCCACTCAAATTCCTATTCCAAAACAAAGTCTAGAGGACTGGGTTCCATCTGTGCCGACTCTTCCCACGTCATTAAACCTGAAACAGTACAATAATTCTGCTGCGGGTGTATCTATCTAATCTATCACAAGGCTGAGTGTCTGGGTTCTGAGCCATTCGACACACCGAAGACCACAAGCAAGAACTGTGACATGTCAGCCACTCGATCCGGAGAGCCCAGACACCGAGTAATTTAGCAGCAGGGAAGTTTTAGCAACAATAACAACTCTTTTTGTTTCCTGTCCCGATGAGGACGTGCTGTAGGACGGGAGCGAGGCATCGTCAACCCACAGTTCGCAAAAGCCCCAGCCAGTTAAATGAGTGAAAGAGCATCTTTACCTGAGTGCCTATAGAAAGCCATGTCTGCAGAGAGTGGGCGCGGGAGTGGACGAGGGAGGTAGAGTTGGTGACCCTCTGAGCTGACAGCTGTGGTGACACGCACCTCCAGGGGAGGAGGTATTAATACCCCTCTGCCCTCCTCCTCCTCCGCACTCCAGACTCTCAAATCCACCCGTGAACAATTCACACCATTTTAGGATATCCAGTAAAAGAATAGGGGGGTAGGAGAGAGAGAGACAGAGGCAGAGGGGGAGACTGGGCAAATACCTTTGGAATTACTTCAGAGAGGAAAAAAAAGACTGGGAAAGGCAGGCAGATTCCAGGGATTTGGACGCAACCAGGACAAACACAAGTCCCAAATCTCCTGACATTTGATTGGGATTGGTGAGGGGTTGAGAGTGGGTGTAGGATTAGTGTAGCCTAATCATCAACAAAGGACAGTTCATTTTTCTTCTCGCTACTATAGGAGGGGCGGCACTGAAATGAGACGCGTTGGCTATTACCTCCATCAGGAGAACTGTAGGTTATGCGTGTGCAGGACTTGGGGTGCAGGGTGAGTAGGGTAACCTGTCAACTCTCGAGGGTCTTCTGAGGCACAACATAGTAGCTGTGATTAGAAGTGAAAAGCTGCTTGGGACTTATCTTGGGACTTATCTTGTAATTAGTAGAGTTTTATTAGCGTTAACTGGGAACACTGGATTAAAGCCGATACTCAAGATGACGATCCTTGACCCTATTGCAGCTGGAGGTCAGTGACACCAGTCAACTATGACAAACTTTCCCAGAGTCCTGTGGGTGTGGGGCCTGTGCTCAGATCTTTAGGAGGTTATCCCTCCACACCACATGTTCAGGCTGACCATTAAGATTCCTACAATAAGATACTATTCTAAACTGTACTGCAGTGGGTTGTGGGTATCTCCAGCTTCCCAAGAACAAGAGGAGGCTTCAACTTGTCGAATTAAGCAATAATGAGTTCAATTAGCCAATTAAGGGCTCGGATAGAAAGGCAACCAGAAATCCTCTGGTTCTGTGGGAGTTGTGCAGCTCTCCCTGCCTTACCACACAAACAGACATGAACCCCAGGCCAGAAACAGACCCAGATTGTGGGGCTGTGAGGCAGCAGTAATCACCACCCCTCCAGGGTACAGCTCGCAGCACACTGTTGTGTGTGTGTGTGCGCTAAACTGGGGAAGCAGAATTATGACTCCTACAGCAAGCTATGTTTCTGTGAGGTGAGCCAAGATTCTTGAGCCAAAAGTCCAATTTAAGATAACACAGCCGAACACTTCATTTTTCAATCTGACATCTCTCCTGTACAAAACGATTTTCCCTTGAAGGAATTACGCAGGCACGAAGATTTAGCATGGAAAGCCAGCGCAGCATCTATAGAAGAGGCAGCACAGGCCAGGGGATCCATCACAAGAGATGAGAAACACAGAGGAAGAGAGAGAGAGAGCTGTGCGAAAAGAAAAAGGCCAACCCAACTGAGCAGAACGAATGAGACCAGCCAATTCATTTCTCACGTGAGGATTACTGAACCAGGTGAAGGGGTGTGCAATTTACAATTCGTTCCTTCTCATTAAACAAACAAATAAACGAGTCAAGCTGCAAAGCAATAAAAAAAGAACTGGGCGCCTGGTCCTCCTTCCACTTGGTTTCAATCACTGATCTGATTCGTTGTTCTCTGCTAACGGCCAAACATGTTGCCTTCCTGTCTGGTAAGTCAATAGCCTGGCTCATCGCCGGAGAATTGTCTTCTGTGATTCATTCAGCACAACGCTCTATTAGCCCTGGTCATTCTAGGTACAGGATATGTCTTACTCTCTCCCTGGTCTCCTGCTGTCTCTCTTGATCTCTCTGGTAGCCAGACCGTCTCCGGTCTCTTCCTGCAGTCACCAGCTGAGCTGCTGAGTGAATCCGAGTAAATCTGACCCTTGGGAGCCCCTGAACGAAAGTGGGGAACCCAGCAGACAAAGGAGAACAGGGCCACCCCACTGCCCTGCTGCTTCCAGAAGAGCGTCTCACGCTCAGCCACAGCGCACCTGGGGGGCTTGAGGACAGGCATGGGGGATGGGAGATAAAATCAATCAATCAATCAAATTACTGATTGATTGATAATTACTGAGTCTGCAGACCAGGAGGCGATGACCTCCGTTTTTTCCACACCATGGCCCCACAGAACTTCAGTGAACACAGCACCTAAACCCCTAAACTGATTAAATGACTCTACAGCTTAAAGTCAATTAAACAATTAAGGATTAGCTTAATCCAAAGTGATCATGGAAAGGAACAGGCTGCATGAGCCGGCTCCTGCTGTAGACACTGCTTCTGCTTCACTCGGTTGGTATTCACCACGAGCCCCTCAGAAGACACCTTATTTTGATATCCTAAAGGTTTTTTTGAAAAATTCCGGAAGGCATTTTAGGAACGAAAGACTAGACACCAAAGAATCGGCAACTGGTTGAGGCAAAAGCATATGACCTAGGAATTAACCTCCGAAAATGAAGTTAATTTTTGTTGAGAGTCATTTATGTCCTCCATCCAAAACTCTCCTCACTTGTGTGTGAGAAAGAGAGATGTAAGAGGCCTTGTCTTGTGCACACAGACAGGGAATCCAGAAGGCAGCTCCTTGCACAGTGTGGCTGTACTTGAACAAAGCTACTGTATGCTCTTGCAGTAGATAGCAGTGGGCGTCCTGAAGAAAACACCTTCGTGTACACAGATCTTGTTTCAATAAAACCTTGGAAATCAAATGTCCCAGATGGACCCAATATCATCCCCATTGTGATATATACTAAATGATGCCTTAAAGTGCTTAAGCTGAGAGTTGGAAAACTACACTGGCACTATCACATCAACAGGCGCACACGCCTCTCCAAATGGATGCTGGAAAGAAGTTGTATTTTTAGCCCTAGGTTCCTGACAACAGGCCAACCTCAATCAGTGTTTACAGGGGAAACTCAAGGCCTGGACACCCCGCGGGGAGACAGACTCCATTCCAGAAACAGAACAAGTGCGGGACGGAGGAAGAGGGAGCAAAGGATGAAGAGGAGAAGGACGAGGAGAGAGGGAGGAAGCCGGG